TTGAGCAATGGGGTTGTAGTGGCTGGATGAGCCCAGAGCTGCCGGAGTGTGTCTCCTCCAGCTCCTGCCGCCCGACAGAGCCAGGGCGTCCCTGTGCAGGCAAAGGCAAACACGCACTACCCACGTCTGTACATGTGTATTGGGGGCTTGGGGTGCATCTGTTTGTGCTCAGGGCTTGTTCCTGCCTCTGTGCTCTGGGCTGCTGCTGGTGGTGTTGACTTGGTGCTGGGCTCAGACCTGGGCCAGCCGGCGTGCGAGGCAAGTGCCTTACCCGCTGTACTCTCTCTTCAGCCCTGTCTTTGTCTTTATACGTTTGGCGTTTTAGGTCATGAAGTCCATCGGTTCACATCGATACCTCTAATTCCAATACAGATCAAACTATTTATTGTTTTCCCATTTCTTTATCTGTACTTTCCCTCTCTGTCACCGAGTAATCGGTCTCCTCGGTACATCTCCTGATTTGGTCGGTTCCCACCCTAATGCCCTCGCCTGACAGACTGAGGCCCCTTCCCCCTTTACTCCAGTTGTATGTGCACGATTGCTTGGTCCCAGCCCTAGTGACTTTTGATCAAAAACTTCAGAAGGCCAAAGAGAGTGTAGTGGATAAGGCACTTGCCTTGCATGCGGCTGACCTGAGTTCCATCCCCAGCACCCCAGAGGGTCCTCTGAGTCTGCCAGGAGTGATCCCTGAGCTCAGAGGCAGGAGTAAGCCTGAGCACTGTTGATGGGCTCCAAAGCAAAACAGACACAAACTCAGAAAGGAAGAAAGGGGGGCCTGCACAGCCTTGCATGACATGGATCTGCCAGTTTACTCAGCCCCCTTTGAGGTACATCTGGAGTACTTCCAGTCTTCTAGAACACCACACGAGTATCTACTAACTAGCATGTACCGTTGAGTGTGGTGGCAGTAGGCCCTGATCAGATCGGTGTGAGCCTGGCTTATCTACTTAGCTGTGAAACTTTGTGGTATGCAAACCAGTGGCAAATCGTGAAAGTTACATTATTTAATTAACATTTTGTTTTGTTACTGTTACTGTTAGTGGTTTTTTTTTTTTTTTTTTGGCAAGGCTCAGGGATTATTCCTGGCTCTGCACTCTGAAATCGCTCCTGGCAATGCTTGGAAAACTATATGAGATGCTGGGGACTGACCCGGGTCAGCCGCTTGCAAGACAAGTGCCCTATCCATGGTACTATGACTCCAGCCCCTCATTCCTGTCCTGTCCTGTCCTCCCATTGTTCATCGATTTGCTCCATCGGGCCCAGTAACATCTCCATTGTGAGACCTGTTACTGTGTTTTGGCATATCGAATACGTCACGGGTGGCTTGCCAGGCTTTGCTGTGCAGGCAAGATACTCTCAGTAGCTTGCCGGGCTGTCCGACAGGGGTGGAGGAATTGAACCCGGCTCGGCCGGACTGGCTGCGTGCAAGGCAAATGCCCTACTGCTGTGCTATTGCTCCAGCCCCTGCCCCTCATTAAAGTTATTGAAAAAAAATAGTTTAAATAAGGAATACACACTTTGTTGGGGGTGTGGATCAGTGGTAAAGTTCAACCATTCATTGCACGATGCAGGGGGCCCCGGTAACCACTCTCCGGCCTGGGGAGGTGGCCCGAGGATTGATCCGATGGTGCAAGGAAGGACCAACCGAATGAACACGAGACACAAGAGACAGAGTACAGTTTAGAAATAGAGAGAAAAAGGGACAGGCTTTATTGAGGGATACAGGCTGTTTATATAGGGTCCGGGCAGCTCAGTCAGGAGCAGAGGCAATATAACCATATATGGTAAGGTCAGCAACAAGAGCTTTACCTAACATTCAAGGTAGACTTTTGTACATCGAAGGGTCTTGTGGCAGTAGGTGCATCCTGAGCTTTACATTTGTATATCAAAGGGTCTTAGGGCAGTAGATGCATCCTGGAGGTTATTATAGATAAGGCCAGATAAGATAACTGTCAGCCTGATGTTATTTGCTATAGATCAGGCATCCACTGAGGTCAGGAAGCCCTGGGAGACTGTCACCAATGTCTGTCCCAAGCAGTTCCTAACGTGGGAACCATGGCCAGGGTCTATGAGAGGGCTCTTGGCTTCCCACAGCATGAGGCCCGTGTTTGATCTCTGGGACCATATAAACAGAACCAGACCATAACCATCCTGCTTTCTGTGGACAGGATGCGTAAACCTTACATTTTCGCTGTCTTCAACAGGACACGTAGTCCTTTGTGCTGCTGGGAATGCGAGTCTTAGATTTCTTTCTCACTCACAGGACTTCCCTGTGGGTGCATCGAATTATAGAATCATTGTTCTCCGTCCTCAGTGATCTGCATTCCTCTGTGCCCAGCAACTGATTCACACTAAGTGCGACACCCGGGCATCCTGGTCCTTTTTCTTCCAGTTGTGAACCAGCTGGGTAGCGGGGTCAGCAGGGAGCCCCCCTGCCATGGCCCTCGTGGCTGCTTGTGTTTCTCTGTGTCCCCCACCCCTCTCCTGTTGGCTCCCCACTGTCTCTGGCCAGCGCCTACTTGGTTCAAGAAACAGCCACGTTTCGCCGTGCCCTTCCCGGCCGTGGGAGGAGCTCTGTGCTCTGGCGAGTCCCTGAGTGTCTCCTTGACCCTCCTCAAGCAGCTTACTGGAACCTCTTTGAAAAAAGGAAGTTTATTTTATTATTTATTGGTAACAGTTGACACAATGGAGACGTTTCTGGGCCTGCTCGAGCAAATCAGTGAACAACGGGAGGACAGTGACAGTGATTATTTATTGAATCACCGTGAGATACACAGTAACCGAGTTGTTCAGGATTGGGTTTCAGTCATACAGCATTCCAGCACCCGTTCCTTCACCGGTGTACATTTCCCACCACCAGTGAAGAACGCCCCCTTTGAACTTCCTTCGTGTAACTGCATTGTGTGTGCCATCTGTTGTGTGAGAGACTCCAGCTGACACAGATTTCACTGTAGATACGCATTGATTTATTTCTCTGGTTCCCTGTGGAGGGACACTAATATTGTTTCCAGTGTTTGATTCTTAGAATCAGTGGTGCTAATAACATTGATGTAGGGGCCGGAGCAGTAACACAAAGGGTAGGGCGTTTGCCTTGCACGCATCTGACCTGGGTTTGATTGCCAGTACCCCAAGTGGTCCCCTGAGCACCACCAGGAGTAATTCCTGAGTGCAGAGCCAGGAGTAGAGGTGAGCATTGCCGAGTGTGACCCAAAAAGCCAACAAAACAAAACATTGATGTAAATATCTTTTAAAATATTTGTTGGAGTGTTACTTTAAGAACAAGTTATAGCAGGGGTAGAGAGAGTTCACCAGGCTGGGCCGTGGGCTTTGCCTGGGTTTAGTTCTGGGTACTGCCGAGTCCCCCAAGCTCTGTCGGGAGTATCCTCTGAGCACCACAAGGCCAAAAAACGGGGAGGAAAGTTCAGATATTAAAAAGTATGGCTTAGCATATGAATGTTGTAAATTTCGATCCATATGTCCAAATTGCTTTGAGAGAGTCTACCAGCTTACATTGCTACATTTTTTTTAAATAAATCACCGTGAGATACAGTTACAAACTTACAAACTTTGGTGCTTCCCTTTCAGTCATACAGTGCTCGAGTACCCATCCCTCCCCCAGTGCCCATTCTCCACCACCAATGATCCCAGTATCCCTCCCATCCCCTCGGTGTTTTTTTTTAATTAAAAAACTAGAGGCAATAAATGTGACTTACAACAAATAAGTTCTAGAAGTGTATAAAGGAAAAAGTGCTTCTTGTGATCCACCCCTTTCCCTCAAAGTAACCACATCAACCGTTAACTGTCTCCATCATCCTTCTTTCTTCTTTGTTTTTATTGGAGGGGGTGTTGGGCTGCACCTGGCGGTGCTCAGGGGCTCCTCGTGATTCTGTGCGTGGGGGTTGTGGTGCCTCTGCCCCGGGGATCTGGTGGACAAGACCCAGATCTCCGGCGGGCCCCGAGAGAGAATGCAGAAGCCACATTTGTTGACTAATGGCAGACTGCGTAGGCATAGACACAGTTGAGGCTGGCAGAAGCAAGAAATGGCTGCAGAGTAAATAAGACAGTCAGAAGCTGCACGGTTCGAGGAACCGTCCCTTTATTTTAAAGGAAGTGAGACGCGAGTGAAGGTGTTCCAGGCAGAGTGGCCTCCCCAGGGGTGTTTATCCCAAATCCTTGGGATATGTAGTGGCGTCACCTTACATGCACAAGGGACATTCCCGATGAGCTCACGCTGAGCCCTTAGTGTGAGGGACCGTCCTGGCTGCCCAGCCTGCTCCACTTACATGACCCTGAACGTCAGGAGCAGAGAGGTTCTGTTGGGGAGCAAAACCAAACAAAGTGTGCGGGAAGGAGAAGTTGGAGAGCTGCCGAGTGGGAGGGACGCGGGTCTCGAAGCAGACGCGCCCGGGCATCAGGAGCAAAGGCTGGCGAGAAAAACGTAGCTGCAGGACACGGGCATGGTCCAGGGGTGGATTCGTCGGCAGAGTCTTGCGAAGGGACTTGAGCCCTGCTGACCGTGGCCGAGAGGTGGGCCTGCAGGGCCTCAGCAGATGGGAGTTAATCACCCGTGTCCAGTCGCCGTGATTGTGGCGCTCTGTGACAGCAGCAGGAGAAAACGGGGCCAGTCCCATCAGCTTCTGTGTCAGTAACGAACTCCTTGTGTTACGTGAAAAAAGGGGCTGGGGAGTGGGCAGCCACGTGGCAGGGCAGGGCCGTGGGGCTCCACTGAGGGCAGGGGCTAAGGGAGTGGGGGAAGGGCAGCTGGCAACATTTCCTGGGGAGCCTTGGCCGCTGACGACGCAGGCTGAGCTGACTTCCCCCGGGGCTGCTGGCAGGCCAGGGCGGACAGGTGGAGGGTCCCTGCCGGGAGCTCCTGGGCACTCTTGCTGGTTCTTCACTTGGAAAGGCTCTGGACACAGTTGCTTTGAGGTCCAGTCTTCTGCTCCGAGGAGCGCTTGCTTTGTCTTTGAAGGCCTCACTGTGTGTTTTTGCTCTCGCAGGTCATGTAGGGGGCCGGAGACCATGTGAAGATGGGGCTCCTCGTGTTTGTGCGCAACCTGCTGCTAGCCCTCTGCCTTTTCCTCGTCCTGGGATTTCTTTACTATTCGGCGTGGAAGCTGCATCTGCTCCAGTGGGAGGACTCCAGTAAGTGCCTGGGGGAAGCCCCGCAGACCGATCCCAGGGTGCGGGCAGCTGCGGTGCCCTCCGATTCTTCAGAGAGGGGGCCCTCGTCGGGGACCGCTTCCGGGGCGCATGCCGAGAAAGTCGGCATTTTGTGGAAACTGCATGCCGGGGAAAAGCCCAGCGGGAGTGAACATGTGCAGAACACTGGCAGCCCGCGCCACTCGTGCGCGTCCTCTGAGCGGTTGTTCTCTTTGGTTCCCGGGTGTCCTTCCCCCTCCCTGATCATCTCGGGCCTCAGGCTTGAGATGGAGGGATGGAGGTTGGCTTTCTTCGACGCATCGCTTATTCGCCTCCCTATTTTCCGTGACTTCTTAGCTTTTTCATTCTACTTTATTTCCCCAAAGGGAGCTTCCGCTGCCCAGTCTTTCTAACCCAGACTCGGACTCCAGCTTTTCCAGTCCCTGCCTCCCACCGGGTGCCTGTCCGCTCCCCCCCCCCCCCCCTTGCATTGGCTTGGATTCACCCCCGTGGCTGGTGTTGGGTTTGAGTCGAAGGTTTTGTTGAGTGGCTCTGACCTTTGCATGATCTCTTGGCTATAGCTTGAAGGGGTCACGCATTGAGCAGGAGTAGTTTCAGGTCCTGTGTGTGTGTGTGTGTGTGTGTGTGTGTGTGTGTGTGAGAGAGAGAGAGAGAGAGAGAGAGAGAGAGAGAGAGAGAGAGAGAGAGCGAGAGCGCTCATGTATACACGCATGGTAAGGGCTCCTTCTGGTTCTTTGTCTGATGGTTGTCTGAAGCTGATATGGGAAGTACTGGGGAGTCTGATTCTTAGTGGTTGTGTTTCCTCTAAATTGATATTTTCACAAATAGCTGTTGGAAATCGCTGGGAGTATATGGTGTCTCTCTTTGGTTTTTTTTTTTTGTTGTTTTATTTTTAAGTTTTCGGGTCACACCCAGTAGTACTCAGGGGGTCACTCCTGGCTCTGCATTCAGGAACTCGGGGGACCATATGGGATGCCAGAGATTGAACCCAGATCAGCCACGTGCAAGGCAAGTGCCCTCCCCGCTGTGCTGTCTTGTCTAGCCCCAGGGAGTCAATGTCTCCATACACGAGGTAAAAATGAGTCAGAAAGAGTTGAAAGAGGCAGCTGGCACTTGACCTGTTGCTGCGTGAATACCCTGCACTTGATCGTAGCCAAAAGGCGGAGGAGTGCTGCTGTGTGGAGACTGTCCCTCAGAAGGACGCATGTCTCCGAGCTGCTGAGGCAGCTTCAGAACAGCATTCTGTTTCTGTACCACATCTGCCGGTGCTCAGGTCACACCTCGTGGTGTTCAGGGGCCTTGAGCAGTGCTGGGATTTGGGCTGGCCTGAGCTGCATGCAGGCACATGCCTTAACCTTTGTACTGCCTCTTTGTTCTCCTCCGTCCCCATTATTTATTTTTGAGGCTGGTTCTTCCAAGTGGTCTCTCTCAGGCCCTGCCAGTCGAGTTTTTGTTGTGTTGGAGGCCACACCCACTATGCTCAGGGCTTACTCTTGCCTCTGTGCCCAAGGGTCACAGGACTCCTGGCAGGACTCGGGGGACCTTGTGGGTTATCAGGGATCCAACCCAGGTTGGCCATGAGCAAGGCCAGGGCCCTACCTGCTGTACTGTCTCTCCGGCCTTTGCCAGCCTCGTTGAAATGGAAGGAGATGCCTGCGGATGAGGGCCAGGGGCAGCATAGAGTGTAGGGGGCTGAGCTGTCTGTTAGGGCCAGATTTACATATGCTAATGAAGCAGCTGGAAGCAGCTGTAGGGGCTGGGGTCTGCGTTCTGTTATGAACTGGTGACCTGCAGACGCTCTAACCCGGATGAGATAATAATTTCCAGAGAGGTCGGAAGGAAATTAACTTTGTGGACGATACCTGTTGAGTGTCAGGTCTTGATCTAGACAGTACACAAATTTAATTTAATTTTCTTTTTACTACCACCGTGTGAAGACGCTTTTATTATCCCTATTTTCCAGATGAGCAAACTGAAATATCTCGCTTAATTAGTTACTATAGTAACGCAACTAATTATCAGAACTGGAATTGAATTCTTAGGTTTTCTCTCTTTAAAACCTATACGTTAATTAGCTTATTGAAAATGTATAATAAATAGTAAAGATAGAATCTAATTTTGTATTCCAGTCATTAAAAGGAGAGAGAAGAAGGGCTCAGAGAAGAAAGAGAAGAGTGTGGCGAGGAGGTAGGACGGAGGAGGCAGAGCCGGGGAGCCTTTGTTCTCCAGGCCAGAGCGGGGGTCCTTGGGGGGAATCCCGAGAGCTCGGTGCTCCCACTGGGCCCCAGTTCTAGGGGGCTCCCAGTTATGTGAGACGTCTCTGGGAGCTTGACCCAATTTCTCCCATAAATATTGAAGATTCCGCAGTGCATCTGGCAGGGAAGAGGAAAAGAACTATTTTGAAATATTCAGGGAACCACATGTGGTCTCCCGAGCCCACCAGGAATGACCCTGAGCACAGAGCCAGGAGTGAGCCCTGAGTGCTTCTGGCTGTGGTCACAAACCCCAAACAAAGGAGTACATCAGAAAACCAAACGGAGAGGGCCAGGGTGCGTGCTGGCACCCAGGAGACTGGGGTCAGTTCCTGGCACTGCTTGGTCCCCTGAGCCCTGCTCAGTGGCCACTGCAGCAGCGTCTGGGCACTGCCCTGGGAGTAGCCCCAGCACTGCCAGGTGTGAGGTAAAAACCAAAAGGAAGAGAACAAAGTAAATGGAGAAGAATACCCTGTGCTGAGCCGCTGAGAGCCTGGCAGGCCAGGCATGGGCCTGGCATGTGGGAGGCCTGGGCTCCACCCTCCACACGGCGTGGTCCCCGAGCATTGCTGGAGCAACCCTGAGCACCCAGCCGGCCGTAATTCTGGAGTACCAGTGGGTATGATCCAACAGTCCCTCCCCCCAAGAAATACTATGCCAACACTAACCAGAAGCAAGCAGGGGTTTCTATTAATTTCATGCAGAGTAAGGAAAACGAGCGATGATAAGGGCATTGCACACTGAGAAAGGAGTCGGTTCATGAAGAAAGCTGAAATTCTTGACATGTCGGCATTAGGCAAGAACTCATAGAATTGCAAATAACATGAGATGAATCTTCTGCTGGGAGTGTCAGCCCTCCTCAGTGAGAAACAGACAGGTCCAGAGGCAGAAGCCAGCCCGGGTCTCGTTAGACTTAGCAGCCTTCGGTGGCCTGGATACAGCCTGTGTCTGTGAAGCCGCGTGCAGACACAGGGTGACACATGTGGCTTCTCAGGTGCTCATGGAATGGTCAGCATTAGAGTCGGTGGGTGCTTCTGTCACTTACTCTTCACAATGGAGAAGTACGCGTATTCTCTTGACTCTGGCACTTAATTCTTTTATTTTACTAATTTTGGGAGAGTGTCCCCCCCCCCCCCCCCCCCCCCCCGCCGTCCCGAAGCAGTGCACAGGATCTCAGGGGCCACTCCTAGCAATAGTATTTGGTCAGTTGGGCCAGATGGTTTACAGATGGTTTAGTGCTAGTACCCAGCAATGCAGTGGGACTGGGGGCCACCAGGGTTCCTCTGGCAGGGCTCAAGAGTTTCTAGGACCACATCCAGTGATGCTTGAGGCAGGCGCGGGGGGGGGGGGGGGGTAGTGAATGAAGTGCTGGGGACTTTATGTGTGTGAGGCCTCTGCCCCTGAGCCCTGAGCCCCACTCTGAGACTGTGTTAAAGTAGTGCTCTGTATAAGAGTTGGTTAGTTGCAGGAACATAGTGGGTGTTGCAGGTAGGGCACTTGCCTTGCCTGTGGTTGATGCTGGCTTGATGCCCGGCACCCCATATGGTCTCCTGAATCCCACCAGGAGTGATCCCCAAGTGCAGAACCATGAGTAAACCCTGAGCACTACTGGGTGTGGCCCAGAACCCCCCAAACAGACCAAAAATCTAATTTGTTTGTGTCTGGAACAATAGCACAATGAGTAGGGTGCTTGACTTGCACGTGACTGACCCTGATTTGATCTCTGGTACTGCATATGGTACCCTGAGCCTGCAGGAGTGATCCCTAAGCTCAGAGCCAGAAGTAAGGTTTGAACATCGCTCTGGAGGCCCAAAAACTTAAGGAAAAAAAAGTTGCATAGTTGCCACTTATCAATAGAATTGAATCCTGTGATCCATTTCATCAAAACTTTACATTTTAGTTTATTATTTTAACATTTATTTATTTCCAGTTAAAGTGTGTCTCTCATAGGATTTTTTCCCTATATCATGTGACATTAAAACATTTGTAATACTAACTTTATCAATATTAGCAACTCCTTTTGTGTTCCTGTCTACATTTACTAAAGATCCTAACCACAGAGTTTATAAAATATGCATAATCTGATTATTGTAGAGAATGCCGTCCTAGCAAGCAAGGCAGGGTTTGATCTGAAACTGGTAGGGAGAAGCACTGAATTAACTTAAGATATTAGTATCTAGTGAGGCTGGAGAGATAGTTCAGAAGTTAAGGCGCTTGGCATGTATCCAGCTGACCCTGGTTGATCTCTGGCACAGCAAATGGTCATGGTCCCCCAAGCACCATCAGGAGTGATCAATCCCTGAGAACAGAGCCAGGAGAAAGTCCCACATACTGCTGGGTGTGACCCCCCAAATGATATTAATACATTATAATAAAATATATTTTTTTATGTTTTTGGTTTTGGGCCAAACCCGGTGATACTCAAGAGGCAGTCCCGACTCTGCATTCAGGAATTACCCCTGGCAGGCTTGGGGGACCATATGGGATGCTGGAGACCGAACCCAGGTCAGCGGCATGCAAGGCAAATGTCTTACCCGTTGTTCTATCACTCTGGCCCCTATGTTATAATTTTTAAGTGGGTGTCATTTTAAAATGAGTTGTGGTTTGGGATGTGACTCAGTGCTTCACATTACTTATGTGAAGCCCAGTTTAGTCCCTAGCACTAAGAAAAGAAATAAGGGGGAAGCTAGTATTTCTGCCCTTCACTTAGGGTTGCTCTGCTTCTGGTCT